GTGTCGGCTCAGCATCTGACTACACAAAGGTGAGTGAGAAGGCGCCAAGGCTCAACAATCGAGCCACATATGTAACTATATCCGTGAGTTCATATGTAGACCAATGCAGTATGAGTGTATTCTAGGAAAATACTTTAAAAAGTGGAAAATAAAATTTGCAGAAAGACACAAAAATAAGTGGCTATGATGATACATCATGCAGATCTACATTAATACATTAGATAACGTAAGCCGCGCCTGGATATCATAAGCTACATGAAGGCTCGATCGTCCTCTTTCAGCGATGGGTGTGGGCGGCCTGACTCAGTTTCTGAAGCGTCGCGGCCTGCTGCGCGAGGAGCCAATCTCACGGTGTCGTCTGGTCATTGACGGCCACAACCTGTTCTGGGTGCTGTTCGGACGACTTGCAAATGTCCCCGGAGGAGGCGTCTGCCAGGAGTTCACCCGACAACTGAAAACATTCTTCCACGATTTGAGGAGGTCTGGCATTATCAACCTGGTTTCGAAGCAGTGATGGTGTTATATAAAGATTTTCCATCATCCTTTACCTGTGTACATTTTCCGAATAATATCGGAGGGCAGACACCTAGTTTTTTTTTTTTACGTGCGTCAAAGTGAAAGGTTATGACGTAATTTTCAGTTATTATCTCCTACCTCTAAGGCCAGTCTAATGCACTTGCAATGTAAAAGTCTGTCAGTCATTAAAATCTACTGATATGCAGGGTTGTGCTTGACTCATGAGTCAAGTCAGAAATTTGACTCAACTCTGACTCAAATGAGTCAGATTTGAGTCGAGTCGGATAAAATGTTGAGCTGTTGAGTTGAGTCAGAGTTGAGTCGGACAAAAATATTAACCCGCGCCCCAGTGGCGGTCTCCGCCAACTTCGCCCTAGTGAGGGGGGTATATGTTACCACCCACCTTTAACTCAAAAACTAAGAGGGCTAGAAAGACGCGGTAAAAAGTAGTCGATAGCTCTCAATGCGTACGTTTGAAAGTATTTCGGTCATTTTTCACCTTAGAGCAATATTGGGGTCACCAGAGGTCATCAAAGGTCAAAATTTGCCAATTGTCATGATATTTTTCAGAAAACATGCCGCTATCTCAGGAACTATGATAGCTAGGAAAACGCATGGAACAGCAATCGGTAGCTTTTGAACTTTTCTTTTGAAAAGGTCATTATCAATATTGACCTCAGGTCAACGGTTTAGCCTCCAGAGGGCAAAAACTCCAAAAATAGCCGTTTTTACGAAAAGTGTTTTTCGACAATAACTTTCGACTACAAAAAGCCACGACATTTCTATTGCCAGAATCGTGTTCCCCTCGCCGAGACGCGTCGAATGAACTATAATTTGACCTTGAAAGGTCAACTTGAAAATTTGACCTCAGGTCAAGGTCATGATCTGACCGGAAAAGGTCATGTTGCATATCAGTCGATGCGTCTTAACAAGACAAACACAATGAAACCATCCCCAGCGTTCTATCTCTTTCCAATCGCGAGTTATTGGCAAAAAACTGTTTGTAGCCTCAAATGACCTCGGATGACCTTTCTAGAGGCTATCAGCAAAAATGACCCCTTGGTCGTCACGAGTGGACTAAATCGTTGTGATTCTGAAATATTTGGACTGTTCGTATGCGTACACACGGATCTAGAGGCATTTTCATTTTTCTCCATTGACTTGTAATGGAAAGGTCACGCCACTGACCTGACCTTAGGTCACGGATATAAAAAATCCGAGATATACAAATTGTAGGCGTCCATAACAGCATGCAATCCACCAAGTTTAAAACCTTTCTGACAGACATTGCAGGCTGGACATGATTGCAAACTTTTTTTAGGCTTGGTCAGTTACTTGATCTGGTGACCTGACCTGACATGACCTGGGGTCAAAAATTTCACACATTGTCCAAAATTGATGTACCAAAATCTACCATAAGCGGCGCGGCGCTACGCGCCGAGGTTTTTTATTCACACGCAAAAAACGCGACAGGGTGGTAACATATGCCCCCCCCCCCCCCACTGGGGCGAAGGTTAAGGTGTTGAGTTGAGTCAGAGTTGAGTCAGTAAAAAAAAACTTTTGACATTGAGTTGAGTCAAGAACATTTAGGAACATGAGTCAGCTGACTCAACTTTTTAGAAACAATATATTGTATAAGTTTTTCATTCTCCCCCCGCTTAACAACTTAGGCCTGGCCCTGCTGCCGGATATTTTCACCCCCCCCCCCCCCGCTCAACAACTTTTTTATCTGAGTCAATTTTAAGTCAACACACTTGACTCAACAAAAAAATTGAGTCAAGTTTGAGTCAACTCATATTTTCATTGAGCCGTTTGAGTCATGAGTCGAGTCAAGGGAAAAAATAAGCTCCTTGTTTGAGTCAGAGTTGAGTCAGGGTATTCTGAAGTTGAATGATGAGTCGAGTCGGCAATTTTTTTTGAGTCGAGCACAACCCTGCTGACATGTTAGCAGGCGCATAACTAGGAGCTACATAAATAGTAAACGGTAATTTGAAGCGCTGACCAGAAGCGCGTGACCCGCCTGTCATTATATTGCAGGTGTGACATCTACCCTTTGGTGTTTCTGGATGGCACCTCAGACTGTGACTGTCATAAGCTTCCCAGCATACTACAACGCATGAAGTCAGAGATAGAACGGCCAGTGCAGGGCAACATTACTGCGGAGACTGCGGAGAAGAAGTCTTGCCCGCTGCTACTGAAAACGTTATTCACTCAGGTAACAAATTATGTAGGTACTTCTTCGTGATTTCTTTTAAAAAACTTTAAATATGGCTGGTGCAGAGGTGAATCCCCGGTCCGAAACGCCGTGGCCAACACGCCACATTTCCGTTTATTTCGGTAGGTTCTCAGAAATTTGGGGATACCGTTCGCCGAGTGTCTGTTTGAGGCCGACCTGCCGTGCGCCGCCATGGCGCGGAGACTCGGCTGTGCGGTGATGAGCAACGACTCCGACTTCTTTACGCTGGGAGTCACCTGTGTCCGGGTTCCGGTCCGGAGGGTGTCGATCAAGCTCGGGGACCCGGACTCGGATCACTCGTCCTCTTTCATGACCTGCACGGTGTTTCGCCCGCAGAGGTAAGCACTGAAACCAAGTTCAAACTTCACAAATTTCAGCCCTTTTTAGTTTGTAAGGGAGTTTATAGCTTCGACAGAGCGAGCAAAAAATAAATAAGTAATTAAATAAACTCTTGCCATAATGCATTTATCGGTACGGGGTGGTATCGATTGATACAGCTCCCGTCAGGCTTCGTTCTTAATTGAGATGAAACTTCGAGGCAAAATAAAAGTGTTTGAGCCTCTGGTACTAGGATTCCGTTAAATAGTGTCGGACGCGAGGGAGGGATAATTTTCATGTCCCTTATCAGATTTTTGAGAATGTCTACAACATTTGGTTTTGACACCCATTATGATACTTTCTTTCCGCACATGTGCAAGTTAAGACCCAGGTCGTTTGAGGTCGGTCACCAGTCACCAGATCAAACGACCTAACCTCAATAAAAGTTACTAGATATTTGCCACAGTTACACCGAGTGAATGATAGATGAGAATTATAGATACCTATAATTATAATTATAGGTGTAAAGAAAAAACGAGCGTGTGCGCCGTTACGAGACGCAGAGATTGGTACCCGATTTTAAGGTCTTAAGTCAACCGGTGACCTCTGAGGTGGTCAAGTGACTCAAGGTACGGTTCAGTTTTGGTGAATAACTTCGCAAAAAACGGCCGCAGAGCCGCGATTTTGGCAGCATCGTGTTCGCCTCGCTCAGGCGCGTCGAATGATATACTTTTTGTTTGGCTCAGGTCAACTTAGGGTGTTGACCTCAGGTCACGGTCAGGTCAGCGCCCCCAGCCCAGGTCACGAAGCTGGTCGAAAGAGGTCATGTCGCATATCATTCGATTCGGCAGGTCTTCCTAAATCCACTGGCGGCTTTCCCGACTCGCTAGCTCAATTTGATCGGGAGTTATTGACGAAAAACTAATATGACCTTGATGACGTCATAAATGACGTCACGCAAGGTCAACATGGCAAAAGTAACGCATCTTGTATTGCAAGGAGTGCATCAAATCACGATTCTGTGTGCTTGAGATAGTTGGAGATCGTTCCCGGCGCCAGAAAAGCAGTTTTCATTTTTCCCCATTGACTTAGTTATAATGGTGAGGTCACGAAAATGACCTGACTTCATATGACCTTTAGAAAAAAATCCGAGATATACAAGTTGTTAGAATCGTAATGGATACTAGTTCCTGCAATTCTCAGTTCCCTGTGAAAACTCCTCTGGCAGCGAGGGCGTTGCGAAGTTGCAACATCTGAAGACCGTGCAGAGGTTCACTTATGACGTCATAGGTCAGTGACCTGACCTGACCCGAAAATGCAGTTGGTGTCAAAAGATCAGGCTTGAATCAAAGGTCAGGTATGCTAAGTTTCAGCTCTCTATCTCCAGCGTGTTTGGAGCTATCGCGAAAAAAAAAACTAGGAGGGGGGTGGCGGCACCCGCCCGCCCCCCTCGGCCGGCGAGGGTTTAACCCTCGCCGCGAGGGTTTCTTAGCGAGGGTTTCTTATAGGTATCTTGGGTTTAACTTTATTTTGGCAGCTATTTGAAGTTCACGTCTGTGACGCCGAAATCTGCCGTGCAGGGGTCTAAAAAATCGACCCTGTGACGTAATCAAGAGGGCTAGGTCCAATTTTTTACCTCAGAAGATGTCAAATTGATGGAAGAAAAGGTACTAAAGGTTTCGCTTTCCTACTCCTAAGCGTATGGGAGCTATCGTAAATATTCGCCAGGGGGGAGGAGGGCGAAAAACGCCCCTCCCCGGGCCCGCGAGGGTTAAACATTGGCCTTCTATCAACTCCGAGCACACGGCATGTCTTACGTGTCCCAGGAGCCCAGTCACTATAAAGAAAAAAAGAGTAATATATAGGACTCTGTGATTGAGTTTAACATATTTACAGGCTTCTCGATGCATATCACATCACCCAAGACATGATGTCGTTGGTGGCAGTGGTACCTGGCAATGACCGGTTTCCGCGCTGGCTCTTTGACGACTTCTTCGAGGAGCTGCGCGGAGAGTGCAATCCTCCTGAGGGGGAGAGGCAGCTGCAGCACCTGGAGATGCTCGTGCACTGGCTGGGCAGTCAGCCGTCACTGGCGGCAGCTCTGGAGAAGGTCCGTCTTTTGGGTATCGTGCATTGTATTTGTAAGTTCGCTACGCGTATAAGGCTTCCTTTCGAACCTTTGGAAAGCATATCATGCATCATTAATGTCGGCGATCAGTATCACTCACGTTTCTAGTCACGTTTCTTTTTTCATCACGGCAAATCTTCCGAAATTATCTTACGGTTTGTATTATGTGATGGTGGTGCAAGTAGCCAAAACTTGATCGGTGATCACCATCGGTTCTGATAAGACTTTCTTGTGTCACGGTCGAATGATGCTTACCGACAATATGTACTTATAATGCGTCGATGAAAAAAAAAACGTTGATGGTTTACTATTTCAAAACAAAGAAAATAGCCCGAAAGAAAAAAATCCTTAGCAATAAACATTATACCAGATACAATCCAATTACCTACATGTAATTGGCATCCAACGTTTTAAGGATTAACTGCAGTGCGGCACTTTGGTTTTAGGTTCTGCAAAGTATTAATGAAAACGAACGGGAAAACCTAAGAAGCTTCGTTCTCAGTTTCTCCACCTCACTGGATCAGGTCAGCTTCGACTTCCTGCGCGCCGCTGAATTCGGAGTACCGCTGGCCGACGAGCCGCCGGCACGAGACGGTGTCGCGTCCCCCGAGCCCTCTGCCGCACAGAGCGGTGACGCGTCCCGCGGGCCCTCCGGCGCCGGGCTGGTGCAGCCGCCGGCGCTGCTGCGGTCCGTGGCGCGCGGCGCCGTGCCCGGCAGCTGCATCAGCGCCGTGTTCGGCCTGCCGTGGCGGCTGTGGCCGGCTGTCGAGGAGCCCTCCCTGCCGTGCAGCTCGCGGGCGGCCGTGCCGCTGCTGACCAGGCTCGCGGCGCTGCTGGGCGCCCCCGTCGGGCCGCTGGTGCTCTTCACGCGGCACCAGAGGCAGCTGCGGCAGCTGCTGGCCAGCTGCTGGTGGCGCGCGCCGCTGCTGGAGCGGGTGCTGCTGGGCGGCGCCGAGAGCCGCCGGGCTGCGGCGCTGGCCGCGCTGCGGCTGCGGCCGGGCGCGCTGGCCGCGCTGCCGGCGCTGCTGCGGCTGCCGGCCGCCGCGCTGGTCGAGTGGCGCCGCGTCACGGCTGCCCGCAGCGGGCGGCACCAGGTGCGCGCCGTGCTGCTGACCCTGCTGGCGATGACGCCGGCCGGCACGCCGCCCTCGGCGCTGGGTCTGAGCGGTGCTGCGGTGGCCGCGTGGCGCGCTCGGACGGCGCCGCTGCGCGCCCAGGCTCAGCGGCCGTCCCAGTTCAGTCTGTCCGCCATGCACCTGTACTGCGAGCTACTGGGCGTCTATGTGGCGGCGTGTGTGGTGAACGAGGTGCTGGAGCGGCCGCTGGAGCAGCTGGATGTCGAGCACACCCTGCACGCCTCCCTGGCCATGCGGCTCGGATTCAGCAGCGCCCATCAAGGTGCGCCGGACGTCCTAGTTTGTATATGACGGGAGACGATAAATGAGAAATGGAGAAACAGAATAGGTACTGCCATTAAATGGCTCAGCTGGCATATACTCGTACATACATACGGCTATAGATTATTTTATTGGACTTTCTACAATACCGATGTCTTTGCGCTTAGCATCAACGGAACATCTTACTTAACTGACTATGCCAATGTATACCGTACTGTTGACAGTCGGCTAAATGCCATTTATGATTGATCAATTAATTATGTAATTTACTTCGACTGTCTCGTCGGTGACTTCTTCGAACGTAAACGTAATTGTTTTATAAATTGATACTGGTTATTTCATGTCATTTATCGGTTTGTTTTCAGCAGGCAAATTGTATGGGGATGTTGATTGTTGACATTTATACATTTGCGCCGTGTCATAGTTTTTTTTTTACGAAATGAACCATATCAGTTCACATAACCACGCGTTATGTGCCCAGGTGAAAAAGGAAATGGCGAGGTTCAGCCAGGCGCCGAGCTAGAAGAGCTGGTCAGATCAGTGACAGACGCAATCGAAGACGAAGCTACCACTGATGGTGATGATACACGAGCCATAGGTAGGAATACTGCCGTTAGTACTTTCCCTCTCTGCACAAATTGCCTACAGTGATGTGCACTTGTGAAAAGAAACGAAATTGAGAAACGACAAAACACTTATACCCCAATTTGAGCGCCTGTTTAGAAAGCTGAATTTCCTTATTCGCTGGCAGTGCCCGCCTGGAAGCCCACCAGGGGACGTGACGTCGTCAGTGAGCACCCAGACCTGCGATCTGTCAGAGCCCTCACCGGCATCTTGAACAAACTGACGGACGCCAGCCAGGCTCGGCTGACGGAGAAGCTGCGTGGCCTCTCCGCGCAAACCGAGGACGGTCTGTACGCCTTGGTGGACGCCGTGGTGCGGAGGGTGCTCGCAGATCCCAACGAGAGCTCAAAATGTGCCAACGTGTGCGTCATCCTTCAGGATTTGGAGGTAAGCTGCTGTGTTAATCAGTTACGGAACTCGAGTGCCGCATCCTCATTGTCGGTCTTCATCGCTGCTTATTTATCCATGGTGCAACATATGTAGGAGGTGCAATAAATGACTAAATTGTTTTCCTTTTCACTCCATCTTCTGCCACTACTTATGTCCACTGCTGACCGGACGTTTGCCTCAGGTGAAGTCGGCGGGGGCCCGCGGCGGGACGGTGCGTTTCGGTGACCTGCTGCTCACCCGTCTGGTGCTGGGGGTCAGTCCGGCCTGTCTGGGTCTGCCGCGCTGTGACGGAGGCAGCTGGCGCCGCGCGCCCCTCGGCCGCGCGGACCTGCTCGCCCACCTGGCCACGGTGCCGGAGCGGGAGGAGCGGCTGCGCCAGTTCCGCCGGCTGGCGGCCGTGTGGCGCGAGGCGGAGCGCCGCCAGCGCGCCACTCTGCGGCTGCTGGCGGCCTCCAGCCGGCGCCGCCTGGTGCCTGTGTGGGCTGCGCGCCGCTGCCTGGAGCGGCTGCTCGGCGGGGACGGCGTGACCCGGCCGCCGGCCGCCGGGCCCGCTGAGCTCGGTTCCCTCGACCTCCACGTAGAGTGGATCTCGCCGAGCCCAGCCGAGCGGGACGACCTGCAGCTGCTGGTCGACTGGTGCGGCGGCGCGCAGAACGGGCCCGCCCCGGCCCAGCCGCCGCGGTAGCGCTGTCGGGATAGGACAGTGAGCACCGTCCTGAGACGACAGAACGAGAAGGGGACCAAGTCAGCTCCGTTCTGAGAATAGTTCGTTTGGTCTAGTCTGCTTCAGCTGTTGGCGGAAGTGAAGAAATAACGTTTTTATATTGGTGACCGATAGCTAGGTAAGTAGGTACAGCTGTTTTATGTGCTCCGGGAAACTACCGGCTGTGTCGTGGTCTTGAGTAACCGTTACCGTGATGGAATATTCGAGCACAGCCCACAGGTTGATGTATAAGGTCTCCATCCCCCGTTTATCAATATAAAATCACAATTGTAACGAAAAGTGTTTGTCTATTTCAAACAACCTGCGGGTACCCAGGACCCACGCCTCAGCATTGCTGGCAGCCGCGTGGTACTGGTAGACTGTGCCGCTTGACTTGAGTGTTAGGCGGCGCAGCCTACCCACCTCGTAAGTCAGTGCCACCGGCCCGTGTCGACGGATGGAAATCGGCAGTGACGTCAGCGCAGCGGTGAGTATGTACCAGTACCTATCACCACCACCTGTGTACTTGTATCAGCTTATCCCAACCGTATGTACCGTAATGCGATTATCTAGGGAATCAAACGTATTCTATTCAACGCCTTCGGGCAAATGGCAAGTGCCGCGGCACTAGTTTAAGTGGCGTTTTTTGAATTTTGAATTGTTTTGTTGAATTTTGAAGTCTTTTTAAGAATTCTATCCAAGGCTGACGAAGGAAGCTGTAACGCTTCCGAAAGCTCCCAATAAAAACTTACAGCTGGTGTTTGAACAATATTTACCAAATAAATCATAATCACTTAGAGCCGTGGTTGTTCATTTTACCGTGCTGTGGATGACTTTTCACAATATAATTACACTATACCTGCAGAGTGCATACTCGTAAATCAGTAATCGATGTCCGTCGTCCAGCCATTTTTAAACATGTTTTAAAGAGTTAGCAGGAATCGTAACAACATGAGTTGACCGAACCAATTGCACCTATGCTGGATGGACGCTCTGAGAGGGACTAGCTTTTAACCGAAACACTGAGGCAGTGTTCAATATGAGGCTATAAGTCACTCGTTCACTGCGACTGCGGCTTGTATATGTTCGTGGAGTTCGTCTGACGACCAGACCAATATGAATATATTGACGGACGTTATTGGCAACCTTTATTGGCCCTGCAGTGTCACTATCCGACAAATCGCAATCCATATCACTTCATATTGGCGGATACAGAAGACGGCGACACCACAGAGCCACCTGGAAACGTTAAACGTGAAAATCTTATGAGCTCTGAGGTGCCCTCTTCTGCCACCCTAAGCCTTTGTGGTTGTGCATGCATAATAAACAATTTGACTTCATATCTGTTGGCATTCAACAGCTTAACCCTCGCCGGACCTATTGGTTTTCTACATACGCGCCGGCCGAGGGGGGGGGGGGGCGGGTACGACCCCCCCCCCTCGCCGTTTCGCCCCTGGTGGAGCTAGCGCGTCGCGGAAAAAACGAGCGTGTGCGCCGTTACGAGACGCAGAGATTGGTACCCGATTTTAAGGTCCTAGGTCAACCGGTGACCTCTGAGGTCAGGTCAAGTGCCCCAAGGTACGGTTCAGTTTTTGGTGAATAACTTCGCAAAAAACGGCCGCAGAGCGCCGATTTTGGCAGCATCGTGTTCGTCTCGCTCAGGCGCGTCGAATGATATACTTTTTGTCCGGGTCAGGTCAACTTGGGGTGTTGACCTCAGGTCAAGGTCAGGTCAGCACCCCCAGGTCACGAAGTTGGTCGAAAGAGGTCATGTCGCATATCATTCGATTCGGCAGGTCTTCCTGAGTCCATTGGTGGCTTTCCCGACTCGCTAGCACAATTTGATCAAGAGTTATTGACGAAAAACTAATATGACCTTGATGACGTCATAAATGACGTCACGCAAGGTCAACATTGTAAAAGTGACGCATCTAACATTGCAAGGAGTGCATAAAATCACGATTCTGTGTGCTTGAGATAGTTGGAGATCGTTCCCGGCGCCAGAATAGCAGTTTTCATTTTTCCCCATTGACTTATAATGGTGAGGTCACGAAAATGACCTGACCTCATATGACCTTTAGGAAAAATCCGAGATATACAGGCTGTGGGACTCATAATGGATACTAGATCCTGCAAGTTTCATTTCCCTGTGACATCTCCTCTGGCAGTGAGGGCGTTGCGAAGTTGCGACATCTGAAGACCGTGCAGAGGTTCACTTATGACGTCATAGGTCAGTGACCTGACCTGACCCAAAAATGCGGTTGGTGTCAAAAGATGCGGCTTGGATCAAAGGTCAGGTATGCCAAGTTTCAGCTCTCTATCGCCAGTGTGTTCGGAGCTATCGCGAAAAAACCCTATGGGGGGGCGGCACCCGCCCCCCCCCCCCTCGGCCGGCGAGGGTTAACCCTCGCATGTGTAGGGGGGGGGGGGTCGGATGGACCCCCCCCCATGGTTTTTCGCGAATAACTCGCGTAAAAAGCGGCCGATCGCGACGAAACTTTCAGTACCCTCGCATTGATCAATTTTACAACTACCCTGAAAATTTCATGACCCTGACCCAAATGACCTTTGACCTGTGACCTCTTTTCCGAGACCATGTTTGGCCGGAATCGCGATTTCGCGTACGTCGGCTCGCACTAGCCGCGTGTTTGCAAGCTTTTCGTGGTTTCAAACGTTCAAACATGTGATTTGATGTTACTCCCGTGTGTGTCAAGGTCACCTGAAGGTCAGGTCAGGTCATTGACCTTTGGTGACCTCGGGTGACCTCGGGTCACTTTTTCGAGTTTTACATGTTTCTAGGCTAGTTTTTGGAGCTGAATTCGAATTTAGCAACCATTTGAACATTTACTAAGTAGTTTTGGTGACTTCGTAACATGTTACGAAGCTGTCAGAGGCGGTTGACACGTACTACGAATACCCGTCACGACGCCTACTGGTTGACCTGACCTGACCTGACCCGACCTGGTCTAAATGCTTCAAGACATCATCTGTGATCAAAACTAACACGATATTCGTGATCAGCACCCCGAAAAACCCCTTAGCAGCCACACTTTACGACTTTCTAAAAGGTCCCGATTTTCCCGACTTTGGGTCATTGACCTGACCTGGAAGGTCAACCAATGACCTAGGACCTTAAAATTGGGTATCATCGGCTTCCTCTCGTCACGGGCAACACGCTCGTTTTTTCCGCGAAGCTCTAGCTCGATCAGGGGCCAAACGGCAAGGGGGGGGTCCAACCGACCCCCCCCCCCCTACACATTAGAAGCTGGCAAACGCCGCACACATGCGAGGGTTAAAGGGACACTCCCACCTTAACCCTCGCCCGTAAACGGCGATCTGCCACCTTCGCCCATGCAGGGGGGGGGGGTTGGTGCGACCCCCCCCTTGGCGTTTGAAAACGGAGCGTCGTAGAGCTTAGCGGAAAAAACCAACGGATTGCTCTCGCCGAGATCTCGCGATTGGTGGTATATTTTTTGGTCCTAGGTCAACATTTGACCTACTTTTGACCGGTCAAAGGTCAAATTTCGGAAAAATAGACTTTTTTCAACTTTCCGCGGCGATTGCGGCAAAACGGTGGGAGATATCGACTTGAAACCTTCACTATCGTGTTCCTTGATCAATTCTCTATCGTTTGGTATGTATTTCGTTTCCCTAGCTCTAAAAATGGCGCGTTGGGAGCGCCGGAAGTCGGCAAGGTCACAGTCGGCGGCAGAAATTCGAAAAATCAAAATTTAAATTTTTGAAATCTGATTGTATTTTTGGATTTGGAAGGTCCATTTGCTCCCTATAGAAGCTAATATTGCTGCATATTCCCATTGAGGTGACAAGAATTAGCAAAATAGTGGTTCGGGCGCTTTTCAAAAATAGTACCGGACGCTGTTCCTCTTGTGACGTCATAGCTCCGTGACCTGACCTGACCCGGTCAAGTTTCTTATACCATATGATAGCCAATACTTGCCCCAACATGCATGGGAAGTTTCATCACGATCCATCAACCGATGTCCGTACCACCGGCAGGAAACCTCGGGCGTTGGCACTCAGTTTGTGAAAATCCGGCCGGAGGCTGTTCCCTTTGTGACGTCATAACTCCGTGACCTGACATGACCCGGTCAAATTTTTTTTATCAAAAGATGCGCAAGGTTTGCCCCATAAGGTACCCAAAATTTGGCGGCGCTGCGCGCCGCCGTTTTTGCACTATTTCCGAAAAACCTCAGGGGGGGGGGTTGCACCAACATACATGGGCGAGGGTTAACATTAGTTTTGAGTTGAGATAGCCAAATTGGTGGCCATGGCCTGCAAATACCGGTTTGGGCACTCACAACATCGACAAATGCTTTAATTCGGAGATATGGAATTTCAAACTTGCAGTTTTCGGATTCTAAGGGGCTAGTGCATTGGTATGCCCCCTTAGAATTTGTGACGTCAGCGGAGATCTAACGATTTTTAAATCTTTTACTAAAACGTTTGGTAGCACGCGGTGGTATATGCTGCTTTGCGCGCAACAAATGCCGCACTTTCAAATAAAGTCGCTAGGAACAGCGGAGATCCCAAAAAGTAAACAAAAGTAAAAGTCTAATATCTTGAAAACCGGTGAATATTTTTCGATGAAATTTGGTAGATATTCGTTTTCGCTCTTTCTGAACCGAGCGACATCACTTTCGTGCCAATTCATTAACTTTTTTGAAGGTGGGAGGGTCCCTTTAACCCTATTAGTGGCAGGGGGTATTTTCATCCACCCCTCAGGTTTTTCGGGAATATCTTCAAAACGGCTAGAGCTAGGAAGTTGAAATTTTCTGCCTTTTCTTAAAACTAAACTGGCCACATTCTCTGAAAATTTCAAGTTGATATCTTTATCAGGGGTGGTTCCAGGGGCATGGGGAAATGGGAGGTCCTATTCGTGAAGCGAGTCATCTGGGTGAAGATGACGATGCTAATGCATTATAACCCGCGACCGCCTGGGGGGGGGGGGGGGGTCGGATCCGACCCCCCTCCGTTTTTCTTGAATAACTCATGAACCACTTTCGCTATCTACTTGAAACTTGGCATACCTTCTCCCCCATCAATTTGACGTCTCCTGTGCAATTTTTAAGAAAAAATTTCCATTTTTTTAGATATATCGATTTTAGTGATGTAACTACATGGCGTTTTTAGTCAAAAAGTGGTAAATGTTTAAAAATCGCCAAAAATCAGGCTTTGAAGCATATTGCAAATTAAGGACATGAAAAGACGCAGCTCAACGAGTTCTTTAAAATGGCTATCTCGGATTTTCAATAAAATGCGTTTTTCACCCCTAAAAATTCAAAAAACTATATTTTTTTGGAAAACAGCTAATAAAATCAAAAATTTTGGAAATTTCCAAAAAAAACGGAATATATGTTGTAGAGCTCTATTAGAACAA